CCACACCCTGCTAATTTTTGTATCATTAGTAGAGATGGGGTTTCACCATGTTGGCCAGGCTGGTTTTGACCTCCTGACTTCAGGTGATCCACCCGCCTTGGCCTCCCAAAGTGCTGGGATTACAGGCATGAGCCACCACGCCCGGCCAAAAATATTTTATAAAAGTCTTTCCCCCACCCCTTTCCCCTCAGTCATCACAAGTAGCCCCCACTGGGACCAGTTTCTGGCAGGTGAATCCAGAAAAGTTCAGGTGTAAGTAAACACACAGAGAACACCCTTTAAATTAATGAAACTAAAGAAAACAGAGCCACAGGTGCACAGGAGACAGAGAACTGACATCTAAGGCTGATTTCATCTTGGTTTCGAGCTGAGTGGCAAAAACATTGCTAAGGTCAACGTTCTGAAGGAGGCAAAACCCACACACGGAACCAGCCGTAGGCCAGTCAACACAGCGAGATGTTATCATTGCTCACGTCCTGGGTCAGGATAAGGCCATACGGACGGCCCAGTTCTCTCTGATCTGGGTGCAGTTAATGACAGTTTATCCACCTTTATCTTCTTTCTCAACACTTCCCATGGTGGGGGAGGGGAAGGACTGGGAGGCCTTGAATACTCTGAGTTGGCCCCAGGTGCTTAATATATTCTTGAAACTAGAGGACCAATATGCTGTTGGCATGTAAAGATGCCCACAATTCTAGAATCTGAGCGTGCCCAGACAATCTCTCTTTACGTTGCCTAATTTGGGATCCTGACAAAGTTCCTTCTGCCCTCTGCCTCACTTTCTCAACCTAGGAAGGGGCCTCCTGGTTTTTGTTTTGTCTTATTTTAAGCTCTGGGGTGTGCATGGCAGAGGCAAACTTGAAGATGCAAGGGTTAGTGAGCAGGACCTTTATCCAGGCATCTCAAATATCTCCCAACCCCTGATTAAAGTTACATATCTCAGAGAAGAATTTGGTCAACACCATTGTTGTCATTCCCGGTTAATAACAGGGAAGTTGAGGTCTGGGAAGCACCCTAGTGATGTGTTCACATGGCCATGTGCTTCTGTAAAATTTACCAACGTAAGGCATCTTAACCTCACTCTGTTAAAACCACTATCTCCTTTCCTTCCAACTTCCCTTTGCATCAGATGATGTTGGGGTTGGTGTGAGCAGTTTGGGCATCTTGCTAAAAGGAACTTAACATTTACTTTGGGTTTAGTGGGATATATTCATATTATTTCCAGTCACTTCTGTGAAAAATTATTACTAACTGACCTGGTATAGAAATGGCTTCCAGGAATATCCATACCGAGCATACTGAGCCGACTCAACTTGTTGTGACATAAAGATTCAGGATCAGAGGTTATATCTTGAGATATATGAATGGTCCTACAGCACTCAATTCCACAAGAATGTGAAGGAGAGGTTTGAATGTATACATGGAGCCAGCAGCTAGTCTATGGAAAGTATTACAGATGTGTTTGTGAGACAGGTAGTTAATAAAAAGAATGTTATTTTTCTGGGTTTCGTAACGTTTGTGCAATTTGTCTTATTTTGTTTTATTTTATTTTATTTTATTTTTTGAGACAGGGTCTTGCTCTGTCACCTAGGCTGGAATGCAGTGGTGAAATCATGTCTCATTGCAGCCTCAACCTCCTGGTCTCAAGCAATCCTCCCTCTCAGCCTTCTGAGTAGCTGGGAGTATAGGCATGTGCCACCATGCCTGACTAATTTCTTTTTTTCTTTTTCTTTCTTTCTTTTTTTTTTTTTGAGACAGAGTCTCACTGTTGCCCAGCCTGGAGTGCAGTGGTGCAATCTTGACCCACTGCAACCTCTGCCTCCCAGATTCAAGTGATTCTCCTGCCTGAGCCTCCCAAGTAGCTGGGATTACAGGTGCCCACTACCACGTCCAGCTAATTTTTTGTATTTTTAGTAGAGATGAGGTTCTGCCATGTTGTCTAGATTGGTCTCAAACTCCTGAGCTCAGGTGATCTACCTGCCTCGGCCTCCCAAAGTGCTAGGATTACAGGTATGAGCCACCGTGCCTGGCCAGTTAATTTCTTTTTTAAATTTTTTGTACTGTTGGGGGTCTCGTTTTGTTGCCCAGGCTGGTCTGAAGCCCCTGGAATCAGGCAATCCTTCCACTTCGACCTCCCAAAGTGGTGGGATTATAGGCATGAACCACCTTATTGTGGTTTCTTGTCTCTTTCTAACCAAATCTTCACTTTATTACTTAATTTCATATCTGTAATTTTTTCTTAAAGAGGTCTCCCTAGGGCCAGACACAGTGACTCATGCCTGTAATCCCAGCACTTTGGGAGGCCGAGGTGGGAGGATCACCTGAGGTCAGGAGTTCAAGACCAGCCTGGTCAACATACTGAAACCCTGTCTCTACTAAAAATACAAAAAATTAGTGGGTATGGTGGCAGGCACCTGTAATCCCAGCTACTCAGGAGACTAAGACAGGAGAATCACTTGAACTCGGGAGGCAGAAGTTGCAGGGAATTGAGATCGCGCCATTGCATTCCAGCCTGGGCAATAAGAGTGAAACTCTGTCTCAAAAAAAAAAAAAAAAAAAAAAAAAAAAAGTCTCCCTAGGCTGTATAAGCATTAGTTAGGAAGTACAAAGCCTGAAGCCACCTGCTCAATTTTCTCTTGCGTCTTACAGGATCACAGGATCCCCTTGCCTTTCCTCACTGTTACTCCCAAGCAGTTCTCGCATGTTTACAAGGGAATGTAACAGAGTGGATCAGAGAATTCACTCTGGATCCAGACAGACCTTAGTTTTCTCATCTATATAATTGGAATAACAGCAGGATCTCTTGCCTTAGATAGTCATGAAGTCAAATGAGATGATATGTATAAAGCCCTAACACAATGTAGCACAGGCCACAGGGCCAGGTTTGATATTTAGCTGGTCCTTACAGATATAGTAGACTTCCTGTTTATGACAGTGATTGGCTCTGATTTGGTTGCTGTCCATGCCAGAGTGTACAATCATTATTAGCTATTGATATATTATTAGCTTCCTCCCCTGCCCACTCAGGGGTTTACGCAGTAAATTCTCAATTATTGGCAATCCAGACAAAGAATGAAAGACACCAGCTGGAATAAAACAGAGAAGCTGGTTCCAAATTGAGCAATTCAGATGGACTGCTATAAAATTTTCTCACTTTAAAGGCCCTTAGCGTTAATTCGTTCTAATCTCCCTGAAAATATACTTTTTTGGCATGTTCAAGTATTGGAAATTTGGAAAATTCACAAAAAAAGAAGAAATTAACTCCTCTGATTACAGATGATTATACACATACACATATGTATTTAATACATATTTATGCTGTACATAGTGTTTTGAAGCATCCTGTACTTTAAAAAAATTTGGGAGGGGTGTAATGGCTCATGCCTGTAATCCTAGCAACTTAGGAGGCCAAAGCAGGAGGATCACTTGAGGCCAGGAGTTCTAGACTGGCCTGGGGCAACATAGTGAGACCCGTAGCTTGACATGGTGATGCGGGCCTGTAGCCCTAGTTACTCTGGAGGCTGAGGTGGGAAGATTGCTTCAACCTAGGATATAGTGAGCTGTGGTTGCACCACTGCACTCCATCTTGGGCAACAGATCTAGACCCTGTCTCTAAAAAACATAAATAAATCAATATTTAATACTTAGCATTTTCCCCTATCTTTAAATATCTTTTAGCTACTTCACTTTTATTTTTATTCTTTTGAGATGATCTGTTGCCCAGGTTGGGGTGCAGTGGCATGATCTCAGCTCACTGCATCCCCCACATCCCAGGTTCAATCTATTCTCCTGCCTCAGCCTCCCGAGTAGCTCGGATTACAGGCTTGTGGCACCACGCCTGGGTAATTTTTGTATTTTTAGTAGAGACAAAGTTTCACTATGTTGGCCAGGCTGGTCTTGAACTCCTGACTTCAGGTGATTTGATCGCCTCAGCCTCCCAAAGTGCTGGGATTACAGGCGTGAGCCACTGCTCCTGGTGGCTGCTTCATTTTTAATGGCTGCATAATATTCCTCATCAGAAAGTGGGAATAATTAGACTAGTCAGCGTGGCTCATGCCTGTAATTCTAGAACTTTGGGAGGCTGAGTTGGTAGGATTACTTGAGTCCAGGAGTTTAAGACCAGTCTGGGCAACATGGCAAAACCCTGTCTCTACAAAAAATACAAAAAATACCGGGTGTGGTGGCGCACACCTGTAGTCCCAGCTACTTGGGAGGCTGAGGTGGGAAGATTGCTTGACCTCAGGAGACTGAGGCTGCTGTAAGCTGAGATCCCATCACTGCACTCCAGCCAGGGTGACTCCATCTCAAAAAAAAAAAAAAAAAAAAAGGAAAGAAAAAAAGAAAAAAAGAAAGTGTTAATAATTAAAAGTACTTTTAGAGGGTTATGTCATAAGCCTTGACAAGAGTTGTTCTGTAAAGCTACCTGGCATGTAAAACGCTCAATTAAGTTAGTTAGCTCTTCCACAGGATGGAATTATATAACCAACCCCTTTCAAGAGGCATTTAAGTTGTTTCCATTATTTTGTCATGATGAATAAGGCTGAGCAATATTAATCTTTGCTCATATCTTTGGTCATTTCCTTTGTAAATTTCGGGACTGCTGGGTGTGCACATTTTAAAATTAACTCACTCATCATCATGCAGTTAGGAGAACAGAGAAAGGAAGGGACTGTGCGGGGTCACATAGGGAGTTAGCTTCAAAGTCAGGACTAGGAATCAGCCAGGGTCCTCTAACTGGAGCTCTTCCAGCTGGTGTCCTAGAGGAAGTCCCAGCTGCAAGCCGGAGGGTGGAGGAAGGGAAAGAACCAGGCGCCGGGTCTGAAGCGGCGGCAGGAAGAAGGTGGGGCCGGTTGGGAGGAGGGGGCGGAGCTGCTGAGCCGCGCCGCTCCTTCGGGCTGCAGAAGCTGAGCGGTCGCCTGGCAACCCCGGCGGCGCGCCGTTCGAACGGAAGCGAGGAACCAATCAGGAAGTCCGGGGCGAACCATTCTGGAGTGAAGGGGGGCGGGGTGCTCACTTCCCCTTTCTCGGCGCTCGAGGGACTTTCCCTGCGGTGGGGGCCTTCGACAGTCAGGGCCACCCGCTCAGCTCGACTGCGGAGGGCAGTTCCGAAGGGGACCCCAAAGGTGCCCACGCGGGGCTGGGGCCTCCTGGGCGTCGTTGGGAGCGGCCACTACCAGCCTGGGTCCGAGCTGTCAGCCTCTCCGAAGACTGCGCGGAAGGAGCCGGGACACGCCTAGGACGGGCTTCAGGTGAGGGCGCGGGTGGTTCTGGGTGCGACCCGGGGTCTGGGGGACTCCGTTCCCCGAGCGCCTGCTGTCTGCTTTCTCCCCGCGTCGTACCTGCGTGTCATTTCACAGATGAGGACTCTGAGGTTCAGAGAGGCAAGTGTCCTGGCTCGGCGAGCTCTGGCGGAGAATCCAGTTCAAGGCTTTCTGCCCTACCTCGCAGCCCTAGTCTAATCATATCTAGACTCGCCTTGAGAGGTACAGACGGGCAACTGGTAGTCATTTTCCCAGCATTTTATCGGCAGGGACACGACCTATGGACCCTTGGCTGGATCACCTATCCCTGCGCCCTACACTGTCCTCGGGATACCCCTTTTGGGCGTCTTTCTTCTCCGCAGTCCGGGGTTGGACGCGGCTCATTTGGCGCCCTTCTGCCTACGGGGCTCTGAACTCCAGAGCTCCCCCTCTCAGAGGACCACTCTTTGGGCATCGGATGGCACTGACATTTCTGGGCTGGATATAGGGGCAGCAGATTCTCCAGCCCCCAGAGTCGCTGCTGGCCTCTTGGGAATCTTCCCCGGTTTGGGGAAGGGAATAAAGCCAGTCCCTGAACCAAAGCCTCTAGTCACCAGAGACTTTGGAATTGGGGGTGGGGCCGGGATCCCCTCAGGAGGAGCATCTGATCTAGGCCAGACCCTGCTCTGTCTCCTGGGGACACCCCTTGCCCCCTAGGTTGCTATTGTCAGTCTCCTTTTGTAGGTGGGGAAACTGAGGTTCTAAGAAGTTAAGCCTCTTGTCGAAGTCCCAGTCAGACAATGCAGTGGTTATTGGCTCCCTCTGGCTTCAATCTTAGAATCCTTGACACTCAGAGTCATGCATTTTGAGAGTCTTGAATCTCTTCATAAGGGAGTTACATATCTCCTCTCCTCTGGAGCCTCCCCCTGGCTTTGGGGACAGGATCTCCGAACACTCAGAAAACAAGCCTTTCCTTTATTCTTTCAACAAATATTATTGACTTCATAAGCCTTGCTCTTGTTCTTGCATGTTTTGTTTTTCTCAGTAGCATTTACTCCACCTTATGTCCTATATATTTTACTTATTAGCAAATTTATCACCTTCTCCCACTGTGATGCAAGGCAGGGGCTGAGGCAATTGAGGTCCTCACCACCAGTGCAAAATTTAGGGATGCCCTGAACCTCAGTAATCATGATAACTGAAACTAATGTTCATGGACCATTTGTGTGTTCTGCAGGCAGGAGGTTAACTCACACAGCCTTCATGAAGCACAGTCCTCCCATCTCATTCTCTCTCTCTCTCTCTGTATATATATGTGTGTGTGTGTGTGTGTGTATATATATACATATATGCATATTTATAAATCATGAAACCACTGCCCTGTCCCTGACTTGCTCTGTGACATTGAGTAAGTTTCTTCAGTCTCTGAGCTGAGCTAAGAAGTCATGATGGTGCACTCAGGCCTGGGCAGAGGGCGGTCTAGGATAGGAAGCAGACTTGGTTGTGGATTACAAATACATCCCCCAGACTCAGCTGTCCCACTTCTAAGCAAAATGATGTAGATGCAGTGATGCTGCAGTGTGGTTTGTAGGCAGAAATGAGACACACGCTAAGTGGCCACCAGTAGGGGATGATGGGAAATTCTACTGTGCAGCTGGGAAAAAGGACATGCTCTTTATGTACTGATGTGGCACCAAGAACAAAACATATTATCGAGCAAAAAGAACAAGATGAAAATGGTACACATAGCATCATGATGCCATATGTGTAACAATGGAGACAGAATATATATTCATACTTGCCTGCATCTGCCTAAAGTCTCTCAGGAAGGATAAGCAACTGTCTGGTCACGATGGTGCCTGCAGGGAGGAGAAATGGGGACAGGGTGGGAGGAGGTTGTTGTTTTTTTTTTTTAAACTTCACTATTTTTACCGTTTTTGAATTTTGAGTTGTGTGCATGTATCATCTATTTTAAAAATTTTAAAATTAAGGCCAGGTGCGGTGGCTCACGCCTGTAATCTCAGCACTTTGGGAGGCCGAGGCGGGTGGATCACTTGAGGTCAGGAGTTTCAGACCAGCCTGGCCAACGTGGTGAAACCTCATCTTTACTAAAAAATACAAAAATTAGCCGGATGTGGTGGCACGAGCCTATAATCCCAGCTACTTGGGAGGCTGAGGCAGGAGAATCACTTAAACCTGGGAGGTGGGGGTTGCGGTGATGCCGGTGCACTCCAGCCTGGGTGACAACAGGGAAACTCTGTCTAAAAAATAAAAAATAAAATTATATATATATATATGTGTGTGTGTATGTGTGTGTGTGTGTGTGTGTATATATATATATATATGCATGTTTATAAATCCTGAGACCACTGCCCTGTCCCTGACTTGCTCTGTGACACTAAGTTTCTTCAGTCTCTGGGCTGAGCTAAGAAGTCATGATGGTGTACTCAGGCCTGGGCAGAGGGCGGTCTAGGATAGGAAGTGGGCTTGGCTATGGATCTGCCTCCCCTTCACCTTTCTAATCCTGCGTGCCAGGTCCTTCCCCAAGACCTTGCATGTGTTATCTCTCTCATTCCGTCCCCACTGCAAAATCCCTTGTCCCCATTTTGCAACCTCAAGTACAAACCTAGAAGATCAACTTGGTAGAGGTGAGCATATCAGTGGGCCTAGATGTCCACATCCACACACATTCCACAGCCTACTCCCTTCTCCCTTCCTAAAGTTAGTGCAAGGCCACCCTGGGCAAGGCTGACTCCTGGGCAGGCCAGGGCACCAGCGTCTGGGAGGCCTCCAGAAATAGCTCAGGGCCTGGTGTGGCTCTGGAGGCAGCCCAGCTGGGTGTCTCTGACCTGGACAGCTGGGCTGAAATTGAGCTGGGGCTGTCCTGCTGGCTGGCCCCTTGCCACTGCCTGGAGCCTTCCTGATCTCCTCTGGGGCAAGCAAGGGCCTCCCCAAATCTAGGCCAGGCTTCCGCTGAGGGGAAAGAAAGAAGCAGGTGGAAGGAAGGGGGCGGGTTGGGTGTAGAATGTCATGAAAATTATAACCTTTGGAAACCACACCTCCCACCCCCTCACCAAAGAATAAAAATCACTGACACCTCTTGAGCAGTTACTGTGTTCCAAGTACTTTACAAGTATGAACTCATTTAATTCCCTCAACTCTGTGATGTAAGATAATTACTGCTGTTCTTATTTCCATCTTGCAGAGGGGAGACTGAGCACAAGAGAGGTTTAATAATTTGCATAAGATAACCTAGAGGTGGAATTTGAACCCAGAGAGTCTGGCTCTAAATTTTACATTTTTTAGGGGGGTGGGGTGGGGCGGTGAGTGAATTAAAATGTATATAAAATAAAATTTACCATTGTCACCACTTTTAAGTATACAGTTCGGTGGCATTAAGTACATTCACATTGTTGTACAACCATCACCACCATCCATCTTCAGAATGTTTTCATCTTCCCAAACTGAAACTCAATACTCAATAAACAGTTCCCCATTGCCTCTCCCTCTAGTGCCTGGCAATCACTGTTCTACTTTCTGTTTGAGTGAATTTGACCACTTTGGGTACCTCTAGGTATTATAAATGGAATCATACAGTATTTGTCTCATTGAGTCTGGCTTATTTCACTTAGCATAATGCCTTCAAGTTTCACCCATGTTGTTGTATGTGTTAGAATTTCGTTTTCAAGGCTGAATAATATTCTATTCTAATATTCTATGTATATGCTACCTTCTGTTTATTCATTCATCCCTTGATGGACACTTGGATTGCTTTTGGCTGTTGTGATTAATGCTGCTTTGAGCATGGATGTACAAATATCTGTTTGAGTTCCTGCTTTTAATTGTTTTGAGTATACACCCAGAAATGGAATTGCTGGGTGATCCTATGGTAATTCTGTTTAATTTTTTGAGGAACTACTTTACTGCATTTCACAGTGACTGCACCATTTTATGTGTCCATCAGCAGTGCACAAAGCACTAATTTCTCAACATCTTCACCAACACTTGTTATTTTCTGTTTTTTTTTTTTTTTTTTTTTTTTCTATGATCCATTTTGAGTTAATTGTTGCAAAGGATGTATTGTCTGTATTTAGATTTTTTTTTTTTTTTTTTTTTTTTTTTTTTTTTGGTAATGTCCATCTTCAGGGGTGTGATGTGGTATCTCATTGTGGTTTTAATTTACATTTCCCTAATGACTAATGGTGTTGAGCATCTTTTCCTGTGCCTAATGGCCATTTGTATATCTTTGGAGAAATGTCTATTCAAGTGACAAGTGACTCTGCATTCTTTTTTTTTTTGAGACAGAGTTTCTCTCTGTCACCCAGGCTGGAGTGCAGTGGTGCCATCTCAACTCACTGCAACCTCTGTGTCCCCGGTTCAAGTGATTCTCCTGCTTCAGCCTCCCGAGTAGCTGGGATTACAGGCACCCGCCACCATGCCGGGCTAATTTTTGTATTTTTAGTAGAGACGGGGTTTCACCATCTTGGCTAGTCTGGTCTTGAACTCCTAACCTCGTGATCCACCTGCCTTGGCCTCCCAAAGTTCTGGGATTACAGGTGTGAGTCACCGCACCCAGCTATGACTCTGCATTCTTAACTGTTACCTGTGCTTCTCTTAGATTTGTAACCTCTGAGAATAGTGGATCAGCATTCTGGGCTGATGAAGGCCTCCCTTCATTCTGGGCTGATGAAGGAGCCGGGCACTGAATGATCTAGTTGGTTGAATAGTTATCATAGCCCGCCCTTTGGTGGCATTTCTCATACATGGGCCTCATGCAGAGAGGGAGGCACGGTTGTGAGTCCTGTTTTGCAGTTAGGGAAACTGAGATGTGGAGACATTGAGTATTTTATCCGAGGTCTTATAGCTAATCATTGGTGGAGCTGGGATTTCAATGGGTTCTGGAGTCCATGCTATACCTTACAGATACGGCCAGGGGGATGGAGGCCTGCAGGCCTGCAAAGACCACTGCAGGCAGCAGAACCAGTGTGTGCAGAGGTTTGTATATGGTGGCTTTGGAGAAAGAACAGGACTTGGGTAGAAGTGGTCAGAGCCCAGCTTGAATGGTGGTGACTTGAAGTTGGAGGAAGAGTAGGACAGGTCTGGAAAGGCCAGGAGCAGGGTCAGGGTTTGGAGAGGAGGCTTGGTGCTTAGGGACCCTGGCCTTTTTTTTTCTTCTCACAAGATATTTATTAATTACAAAGGGAAAATAGTAACTGTACAGTGGAGAAATTTGGCAGATACTGCCTTAACCAAGGAATTGGCTGATCACTAAGATTAAGACAAACTGTTGTTATGAGTGGGTGTGATAATGTACCTATAGTCCCAGCCACTCAGGAGGCTGAAGTGGGAGGATTGCTTGAGCCCACCTATTTGAGGCTGCAGTGAGCTATGGAGTGCACTCCAACCTGGGCAACACAGTGAGACTTCATCTCTTAAAAAAAGAAAAAAGAAGCCTCCTGACACCATGTACTGAGAAGGACACAACATCACTTTTGTGTTATTCTTGATAGATATGTATAACTTTCTCTGCTTTCTTTCTTCCTCTCTTTTTCTTTTTCTTTCTTTCTTTCTTTTTCTTTCTTTCTTTCTTATTGATATAAGAAAAAGCTTTATACATTTAATGTATACCTCTTGATGAGTGGCCTTGGCCTTTGAGGTGGCCTGGGTCCAGTCCAGCTAGTTGTTCAATGGTATTTCCTCTTTGTTTGGTCCCTGGAGGAAGAAAATTGGAAGGGTGTGATGGAGCTCATGGTCCAGTGGGAGAGATAAGGAAACGAATTATATTTCCTATCCTAGATAAAAAAGTGTCTAAAATGACAGGATGTAATGAGTGCTCGGAAGGGAATAAAATGGGTGAAAAAGCTGACACCCCCTCTTGGGGGGTCTCTTGGAGGAGATGGCATTTGAAGTGAGATCTGAAGGGGGTGAGGGAAGAGAGTCCAGGCAGAGAACAGCTGGCGCAAAAGCCCTGAGGCAGGAAAGACCTTGTGTTCAGGAACAGCAGGGAGGGCTTTGTGGCCAGAGCAGGAAAGAGGTTGCAGATAACATGGGAGATTTGGACAAGGACTGAGTCCTGGAAGGCCTGAGGGCCAAGTAAGCAGCTTGGATTTTTTTTTTTTTTTTTGAGACAGAGTCTCGCTCTGTCGCCCAGGCTGGAGTGCAGTGGTGCGATCTCAGCTCATTGCAGGGAGTTTGGATTTTATTGTTAAGGGAGCCACAGGAGGGTTTAAACACAGCAGTAATGAGACCTTATTTCTGCTGGGAAAACATTGCCATTATTGCCCCCATTTTACAGCAGAGGAAACCGAGACTTAGAACCATAACCAGGGAGTGCTTCCTAAGGTGGCTTCTCCCTCTGGGGTCCAGCCGACGAGGCAGTAGGTTGTTCAGGAGTTCCTTGCGGGGCACATCTGGTAAGTGGCCAAAGCCCAACACGGAAAACACTGTCTCTTCCACCTCGCCTCCCCAGATGTGAGCCTGGGTTCCAATCCTGGCTCCACCATTAATCAACTGTGGAATTTTGGGCAAGTGGCCTTACCTCTTGGAGCCTCAGTTTTCTCATCTGAAAATTGGCATAATGATAGTAGACCTGACAGAGTAGGTGTGAGGATTAAATGAGTTAACATTTTGTAAAGAGCTTAAAATGGTGTCAAGTACAAAGAAAGTGCTCAGATGAGATTTGTTCTTTTCTTTTTTGGCTGTAAATTTATTCAATGCAAAATAATCCTCTCCAATTTTACTGAGGTGGCTCACCACGTCCACGACCAGATCCGCCTCTAAACTGGAATTTGGTTGCTGACCCAGCCCCAGCTTCGGCTGTCTTGTCAGCACCAGGGGGCACAGAACACTGTCTGTAGGTGTCTCTGTCGGCTTCCTCTCTTGTGAGTCTTGCAGGTCGCTCACCCTCCAGACCTTTAGGCCGAGGCCTGCCAGTCTCTGGACGGCTGCGGCGTAGGGTGGCAGGAACAATCTCTGGGGGCAGATGAAGGTAATCATGGAGATACTGGATACCCTTATTGGTAAGGTACCAGTAGAAATGTCTCCAGGCAAACTCTTCCTTCACGTAGCCTCAGGACGTGAGAGACTGCATGGCCTTCATGACATGAAGGTTGGGCACATTCTTGTCTGCCAGTTCCGGGTGCTTAGGCATGTGGACATCCTTCTTGGCCACCATGACTCCCTCCTTAAAAAGGAGTTCATAAATGGCAATCGGTTCTTCTTACGCGTCAGCATCTTGGCAGCTGTAAGGTCCGGGGCTGGGGCTAGAAAGGAAGGACTGTTCTATTATGAAAATAATTATTGTTGCTTTGCTGTTACTACTATTAGTGCCTGAAGGAGCCTTCCCTCCCCATCCTCCATTTCTGCCTCAGTGGAGGGCTAGGCAGGGCTCAGCAGGCCATTTGGAGGATGATGGATTGTTGCCCCATTCCCTGTAAAATCAGGGACTGGAGGAGGCCGCAGTGCTGAGGGGGAGGGAAAGCTGATGTGAGTCACTGCCGGCCTCCTCATGCCCTACACCCTGGTGCTGGCCCAGCTGCCACAGGCACAGACATGGGACAGGAGCCTCTTCAGCCTGAGCGGGGCGGAGGGCTGAGGCTGAGGCCTGGGAGACAGCTCCTTCTCTGCGCCTCAGGATTCCTGTGAAAAAACCTATCAGATGTGCCTACCTGAAGTGAGTTATAGGACTTGGGCTGGAAGAGGTGACAGTCACTACCCTCTGGGAATTCCTTCCTGCAGGGGTGCAGTCTCATGGGATAAAATGAGGGGGCTCTGGGGGGTTAAATGAGTATGGTGTCTAGCACCCAAAAATTCTAGTTATTGTTGTTACTATGACGGCTGTTGTTACCGATGTTAACAGTTTTTCACAAGGCTGCTAAGGCATCCTCAGACTCAGCCTGTTCCAGATGGATGGGCTCTGCATGTGACGGAATGGAGCACCAGGAGGGTCCCGCAGCTTGCTCAGGGACACACAGCTATAAAGTGGTGGCGTTAAGGCTTGGTCTGGAGGGAAAGTGCGCAGGCTGGACTCCCCAGAGTGATTTTGGGCTAGTGACTCAGCCTCTCCCAGCCTCAGTTTACCATTAGTCAAATGGGGTAACAATAGAACTCACCAGATAGCGATTGTTGGGAAGATTAAAATGGGTTACCTGATACCAAGAAAAACACTTTCCCGTGCCTGGCACAGTGAACATTACCTGGCGGTCCTTCTGAGTGTCAGGGAAGGGGGCTCAGTTTGTCCGTCTCTAAGATGGGTGCGCTTGCCTGCGGGAGCCACCGGGACTCCGCGCGCCAGGTGTGCGGTGGGCGGGTCTCGGCTCCCGGAAGAACGTCCGTGGGTGGTCCTGGAGCCGGTCGGACCCAGTTACTGAGCCAGGCCAGCTGCCAGCGGCCGGGGCTCGGGTTCCGGCCCCTGCCTGGCTTTCCTTACCCTTTTCGGGTAATACCTGGACCGGCGGGTTCACTTGCCCGCAGCCGCCGGAAGTTGCGCAAACTCAGGTTGCCGGAGCCCCAGGTGGGCCGGGCCGGAGGAGCGCAGGCCAGCGGCGCGGGCGCAGCCAGGTACGTGCGGACCTGCGTGGGGGGCGCCCAGCCGGAGGTAGGGGGCGGCCCGAGTACCCCTCCACCCCAGGACGGCGGAAACGGGGCAGGGATCTACCTTTCGGCTTCAAGAGGACCGCGGGGATCGCGCCGCTCGCTCCCTCATTTGAGATCCAGGCCAACTCGGACTCAGAGGGGCGGCGAGTGGCGAGGGTCACACAGCGCCCTGCTAACCATCCCCCCATCTTCCGCCACCGGGATTCCTCAAGCTTGCCCGGAATTGAGGGAGAGCAAAAGCCAGACTGGGGATCTGAGTTTCCCCTAGTCTTGCCCCGCGGCCTCTGGAGGCTGACGCCGGGGAGCTGATGGAGAGGGGACGAGGTGGGGATGCGTGCCACGGTGATGCAAACCAGAAGGGCCGGCGGTTGGGGGCATTCATGGGAGGCATTTGAATCCGTGGGTGGGGCATTGGGCGGTGAGAGGAGGCCTCAGAGGGGACCTTGAGTCCCGCTTGGGGACTTGGGACCCTGGCTTCATCTGGCAGGAGCCGCTGCACCTCCGTTTGCCCACCCGTGACATGGGGCTGTTGAGGTGAGCACACTGATCAGCCTGTCTTGGGCCTGCTTTGTCAGCGGTGTGGGCTGGGACAGACCCTCGTGGGGTTTGCTTAGAGACCCCTCCGTGGGGGTGGTCTGTGGACTTGGGTAGTCAAAATCTTCTTAAAGACCAGTAGCCTGGTTCGTGGCTCCGCCTTTTTGCCAGATGCTGAGGAAAGCCCTCGACCTGTTTGATCTCCATCCTTATCATGACCTGGAGGCTCAGGAAGGTCTATTTTTAACCTCATTTCACGGAGAAGGTAACCGAGTCTGTAAAGAGGCGAAGCTGCTTGCGCAAGGCGCACAGCGAGCGGGTGGGCGAACCGAAGGCCGGCGGGCCCGCGGCGCCAAATCCGGGGTTGGCTCTCGCATCTGTCCCAGCCCCGCCAGAGGGGACACCAGGGCCAGCAGATCGGGCCGCAGGGACTGGGGGCCCGATCGGGGTCGTGCATGGGGCTTCTGCCCCGGCCCCGCCCGTCTGACCTCCTTCTCCCTCTTTATCCGGATGGTGCCCGCGAGGGAACTGCCACTGTGGACGGGTTGGACTGGTTTGGGAGGTGGCGGCCTGGGGGTGGGGCAGAGTTTGGCTGCCTCTACTATGCTCCTTTCCTGTCAGGTCCTTCCCACCTGAGGTCTCCTGGGGGTCGGCCCTGGTGGAGCAAGGCTTCCTTTCCCATCCACTCCATCTCTCCTGCCTTGGGAGCAGCACCCAAGGTTCTATTCCCAACTTATCGCTGCTGCAGAGGTCTCCAGCTGGTGGTTGAGGGCCAGATGGAGGAGGGGACAGATATGTTTGCAGACATATTTTGTTTGCTGCACATGCAATGTTTTAATCATTATTATTGAATATGCTAACAGTTTTAAGAATCTAGAGTTTTTATGGAAGTCTGAATTTCCAGCTTCCTGGAACAATACACCTACCACCTTGGACCCATATACCTGCAGCAGGCAGGGTACCTAGATGTCTCTAGTTCATCTCTGATCACCCAGTTCACATCTGGCTCCCATAAATATTTCAGTTCAATAAATATTTATTGAATATTTTGCCTTAGTATGTGTCTAGGGCAATATCTTGAAACTGGGGTATAGTGAACAAAATAGCCACCCTCACCTGCCCCCCCCCACACCCCTGCCCACATGGAGCTGATATTTTAGGGGGACAGGGACAACAAAGAATAAAACACCCATACACAAATAGAGTACTTGTGCAGGGAATAAGGAGAAAAGGAATAGTGCGGGGAGGGGGTCAGGAGCGCAGGGGAGAAACAGGATGTGGTATTGAAATCAGTGCCTTATTTATCTACTCTGGGACCTGGGAAAGTCAGTTCTCTCAATCTCAGTTTCTCCATCTGCACAATGACCCACAGGCTTGTGGGAGGTTATAGGGAGGATGGCACCCAGCAGGGATCCCTGCCTCCCCACCCTGATCCAGACTCGCTCCCTCCTGGATTTTTGGATGTCTAGGTGGGGCTGTCCAATGTAGCTTCCTACCATGGATGGAAATGCTCTACTCTGTGCTGCCAAGTACAGTGACAACTGGCCACATGTGGCTACTGAGAACTTGAAATGCCACTAGTGTGGCTCAGGAACGGAATTTTATGTTTTTATTTCATTTAAATTTAAAGTTAAGGTTGAATAGCCATATGTGGCTGGTGGCTATTGAGCTGGACGGCACAGGTCTAAATGGCTTGAACTGCATGTCCTCTTGGGGAACACCTAGATTAAGTACCTGCCCCCTCTGTTTTACAGATGAGAATGTTTAGGACTTGGTATATGGGTTTTCTTCTGCCCCATCACCAAGGGGCCTTGTGGGGTGACTCTGTGGGCTTGACCCTTCCTTGGAAACAGGGTCAGGGTTGGCTTGATGCCTGGGACATCACGCTCTGACACTTGGGTGACCACATGGACACTTGTGCATCCAGGTGTATGCCCTCCTCCCAGGTGAGTGCCCATTCCATGGCTGCAGGCAGATCAAGGGTCTGCCGGATGCCTCCATGCAGGGCTGTGTGATTTGGGACATTTCCAGCTTCTCTCAGCACAGCATAGCTCAGGGCTGACGTTTCCACGTGACAGGCATTTGTGGATCACTGTGGGCCATCCAGTTCTATGCTGGAAGCTGACGGATGTATGGACTCCACTGGGGCGGGGGTGGAGATTTTCTTTGCTCCTTCCCTATAAGCTCTGCCCTTTGCCTGGGGCCTGGCATGTCTAGGCGGGTGGATGGCACAGGGAAGCTTCCTGCCTGGATGGGTGAGGGGTAGAGGTGGTACCAGGCTCCCTTTGGGAAGTCCAGATGGGGTGTGGGGCTGGAGCCCTTTTTCTTGGTCATTTAACCCTACACTCCTGTGGCAGCACCTTCCTTCTTGGTGGTAAGGGGCAGAGCTGGGTTAACTTAAGCAAGTTGGTTGCCTCTCTGGGCTTCAGTTTCTCCATCCAAAAAATGGGGCTGTTGAGAGGACCTGAGGTTGAGTTGACTGGTGCGTAGCACAGAGCCTGGAGCCTCCCTTGCTCCCTTTAGCGCTTGCCTTGCCCTGTCTTTTCTGCCCAGGTTGCCCAGGTCTTTCTTCTGTAGCACCTTTTTTCTTCTCTTGACCTCAGCTGGGCCTGGTTCCCCCGGGGCAGGAGGGAGGGGGTGTGGGTGGGGCCTGAGGCCCCGCAGCTGTTGCCTTCTGCCTGCTGATTGGCTCCTTATGGAGGGGCGTGGTCTCTACCTTATAATAGGGAAGGCGTCTTACCCTCTCTCAGCGGTGGCTGAACCTCTTTGTCTGAGCGCGCTTGGGGTTTTTTTTTTTTTCCTCTCTCTCTCCCCTTCACTGCAGCAGTTGCCGGTGTTCAGCTGCCTACTTTCTGCCTGGATCTCTGGCTCCTCATTTCTCCAGTCTCCTCAGACCAAAGCCCTCGGGATATGCAGCAGCCATGCCTGTGGACACGCTGAGCCCTGGAGCCCCGGCCGCCCCCGCCCTACCTTGCCGCCTTCGGACCAAGATCCCTGGCTACCTGCTACGGAGGCCGGCAGATGGTGGAGTTCGGAAACCGAGTGCTGTGGAGCGCCTGGAAGCCGACAAGGCCAAGTACGTCAAGAGCCTGCATGTGGCCAACACCCGCCAGGAACCGGTGCAGCCCCTGCTGTCCAAACAGCCACTTTTTAGCCCTGAGACTCGCCGCACAGTGCTCACGCCCAGCCGCCGAGCCCTGCCTGGCCCCTGCCGACGGCCCCAGCTGGACCTGGACATCCTCAGCAGCCTCATCAACTTGTGTGATAGTCCCGTGTCCCCTGCCGAGGCCAGCCGTACTCCTGGACGGGCAGAGGGAGCCGGCCAACCTCCCCCAGCCACCCCTCCACGACCGCCGCCCAGTACCTCTGCGGTCCGCCGAGTGGACGTCCGCCCCCTGCCTGCCTCGCCAGCCCGGCTCTGCCCATCACCGGGTCCTGCCGCCGCCTCCAGTCCAGCCCGGCCACCGGGTTTGCAACGCTCTAAGTCGGACTTGAGCGAGCGCTTTTCTAGGGCAGCTGCTGACCTTGAGCGCTTTTTTAACTTCTGCGGCCTGGACCCGGAGGAGGCAAGAGGGTTGGGTGTGGCCCACCTGGCACGGGCCAGCTCGGATATCGTGTCCCTGGCAGGGCCCAGTGCTGGGCCGGGCAGCTCTGAAGGGGGCTGCTCCCGCCGCAGCTCGGTTACTGTTGAGGAGCGGGCCCGGGAGCGCGTTCCCTATGGCGTGTCGGTGGTGGAGCGCAATGCGCGCGTGATCAAGTGGCTGTATGGGTTAAGGCAGGCACGGGAGAGCCCAGCAGCTGAAGGCTAGACGCCACTGGGGAATTTGCCACAGAACAGATCAAGTGGTCCCTGGACCTCTCTTGCATCCATTCTCTGGATGGCCATGTCAGAGGCTCCACCCTGGTGTGAACTTGGTGTGGAGGCAAAGGCTTAGAGGCTGGACCAGCATTCTTAGGCAAGGACTGACTCTGGGAGGGTTTTGCTCTTGACTTTGGACACTTGAGAACCCCCTCCCCCCATCCCAATACAAGGTTTTTGACATGAGTGTACTCCTGCTTAGTTCCTCTTGTGGGCCTGCATTTGGGGTGCTTTGCCCTCCCCACTGAGAGTGAGGGGCCAAGGGATCTCCTCAATCTTGTCTCCCCAGCGACTCTGTTTCCTCCTTCCTTCCTTGGCCTCTGTCATTTGCTGACTTCCTCTTCCTTACCCAGCGGAACTCACCCTGGGGTCAGGGCAGTGGGGAGGGGCCTATCCACTGCTCTTCCTAGTCCTTGGCAGCTGGCCTAGGTGGGCAGACTATAGGAGGGACTGGTTAGGAGTCTGCATTGCTTTGACTTCCCTCCCCTTGGTTAATAAACACAAATGCTTGTTTCTCGAGGGCTGGGCCTTCAGACTCTTCTGTGTTCACAAGAGAAGGGGTAAGAGAAGTCTTGGGGTGGGGCCATCAAAGCAGTAATTGTTTACCCCGAGATCTAGTGGTGGGGCATGATGATAGCAGCTGGCCTGGCTGGAGACATGTCCCCGCGATGGGTTCTCATAACTCTCCTGGAAGGCTGGCAGGCCTGCTTCATCAGGGAGGAAACTGAGGTCCAGCCACGAGTGGGCTGGAATAGAGCTGGGAGTAGGAATGGGGTCTTTCCCCTGCACCAGGAAGGGAGCCTGCAGGGGAAAGGCTGATGGGGTGCATAGACTTTCCCCCGCCATGAGTGTTCCATCCTCATCCAAGCCCTGCCCAGTTCCCAAGGGGGCAGGAAGCTTGGAGAGGGTAAACCCTGAACTTGAGGTCGCACAGACCATAGAGTGAGGATGGGAAATGGGAGTTTTTGGAGGACGAGAGACTTGGGGTGGACGGCACAAAATGAGTGGCCTTGCCTGGTGATCTTGGACAAGCCAGTCTCCCTCTGGGCCTCAGTGGGAGAGTTAGGCAGCACAGTCCTCCTTGGGTTGGGGCACTGGTGCATTCTGGGCCTTTCATGCTATATTCCAATACCTGGGGAGAGGGGAAGGAAGGGGCTGGCACTGGGCTTTGAGGCCTCAGCTTCTTCCAGTCTCCCTCCAGGTCAGTTACCTACTAGGAGACCCCACCTTGGCTAGTGGAGCAGCTAGGGCTAGGGCTGGGCTTACAAAGGGCAAAAGTGGTGGTGGCCTCTCTGGTGCCCCACAGTGGGAGTGGAGAGGGGGTGGGTGGTGCTTCCTTTCACAGGCTGCCTTGGCTACAGCACTCAGAAACAGGAAGCTCTAATGGGGGCCCTGGTGACAGGTTTGATGTAGGTTTTATTTTAAGCATAAAGAGGAGATTTCCGTTGGACTGTTGACAAACATCCAGGTCAGCCCAGCTGTCCATCTCTCTGTCTGCCTGTCTACAACTAGCCCCCGGGGGCCTGGGATGCGCCTGGGCAGTTTGGTGAAAGAAGGGAAAATTGGGTTCTAGAAGAGGATGGTGTTCCAGCTCACAAGACTGGAGCTTGTGATACAGGTGGGGAGACAAGCATGAGGAGGGTGGTGACCTACCCACAACCCCCCGTGGTGCCCAGCAGTTTTGACAGTGCAGGAGCTGGGCCTCCAGGGTCCCCATGCTGAAGGAGTGATGGTGTCAGGAGAGAGAATCCAGGCAGGATCTGCAGACGTGGTGCCCTTTGAGGTGTCAAAGACTAGATTTCCTGGACACTTCTGCTAGAATTCAGGGCTAGTCATTGCCCCTTGCTGTGACCTGGCAGCCTCCGAGTAACGCAAGAAGGTGGATGGGCTGGCTGCATTTTACATGTGAAGAAATTGAGGTTCAGGTCACAGGACTAGTGGGTGACACCTTGTTTGTGAAGGAGGTTTCAGTGCTTGAATCCTCAAGGTAGCCATCTGAGGACTAGAATTATTGTCAGAGCAGGATGCTGAGCTCAGGGAAGGATAGCGACTTGTAGACTGTCACATAGCAGGTCTGCAGGACAGCGTGGGGTCACACTCTTGCCTGCCAGACACATCGCAGTCTGTATTCCTGGTTCTCCCAACACATACCCCACCACTCTTTCTCATCTTGGCAGCCTTCTGGTCACTTTATTACTGAGCATCTACTGGGTGCCCAGCAGTGGATAAGACAGACATGGCCCCTGTCCTAGTCTGGAGAAGAGAATGGGCAACTAAACATTCAGCACATAAATCATCATAGAATGTAAAGCAGGTATACTCAGGGACTTCTGCCCTAAACCAGAGCTGTTCCCAGGAGCTAGACCAGGGAATAGCGGCAAAGAGAATGCCTTTCCATAAATCCACTGGGAGGGTCTGTTGGGGAGAGAGCAAGGAGGGATTCTTAGAAGTGGGGAAGGTGCCAGATTGAGTCTTGACTTCTCCAATGGTTATGGCTTGGTCTTGGGAGGGCTCCCCCTGTTTCAGGATTCTGGAGCCTCCCGCCTTCCCTGCAGGCCTCTGTGGAGGGAGCAGGGCGGGAGGGCTTTTGCACTCCTCCCTCCCACAACCCTGCAGCCTCGGGGATCTGTGGAAACAGCCCCTCTATTGTTCTGCCTCCAGTTGGAGTGTGAGCCCTCGGAGGGCCTGCAGCTGCTGCCCTGTCTCCTGGGGCTGCCCAGCCTCCGAAGCAGCTCCCCCAGGCCAGCCTGGCCCCAGCTGCCTAGCCCCTAATTAGGCAGAGATGAGATCTGCTCCCTGATCCATTTCCCACCAGCTAATTATATACACGTGGATTTGGGAACCAGGCAACCTGGCTGCTCACTTCTATCATGAAGGTAGATGGGCCCTGGGAAAGGCAGCCCCCCACGGACCTCAGTTTACCCTTTTGGCAGAGGGTGGAATGTAGCTGCAGAGGCCTGTTCCTGTCCTTGGTTAAACAGTTCTGTTCCTGCTACCGAAACATTCAAGGAGACCCCACATCTTACCTGATAATCCTGTGTACAGGGGACCAGGAAAGGGCTGAGGAATTTGGCTATAGGAATTCCTTGACTCTAGGACCCCAGGGTAGCGGGGGGATATAGGTGAGAGCGCGGCTGCAGCTGGCCGCCAATTAGATGTGCATATAGGAGGGCTTACAGTTGTGCTGGTCCCCTATCCAGGCTGGTTGATCCGGGTGGGCTGAACACCTGGCTGGGTGTGGTGGCTCACGCCTGTAATCCCAGCACTTTGGGACGCCAAGGCGGGCGGATCACTTGAGGTCAGGAGTTTGAGACCAGCCTGGACAACGTGGCGAAATCCCATCTCCACTAAAAATATAAAAATTAGCCAGGCATGGTAGCGGACACCTATAATCCCAGCTACCTGGGAGACTGAGGCATGAGATTCGCTTGAACCCTGGAGGTGGAGGTTGCAGTGAACCAAGATCGCACCACTGCACTCCAGCCTAGGTGACAAAGCAAGACTCCCTCTCAAAAAAAAAAAAAAAAAAAAAAAAAAAGGGAGTGAACACCCCATCCAGGTTTTTAGAAAGGTAATATTGGTTGATGGGTGTAGCAAACCACCAAGGCACATATATACCTATACAACAAACCTGCACATTCTGTACATGTATCTCAGAACTTAAAGTATAATACAGATTTAAAAAAGGTAATATTATTTTTCAGATAATTCACTCATACATTTCTTCCAACATTTTATTAAGAAAAATTTCAAACATAGAGTTGAAAGAATTATACAGTGAACATTCATATACCTGCCTACTAAAGCACACTTGTTAATATTCCACTATATTTGCTCTGTCAGGAATCTACCCATCTCTCCATCCATTAATACAACTTACTTTTTAATAAAGCTTTTCAAAGTTGCAAATATCAGTACACTTCCCTTAAAGTACTTTAGTATGCATGCCATTAGCTAGAATTCAATATTTTGTTTGTTTTGTTCCTCTGGAGGTAAGGTTTACATGGAATGAAATGCACAGATCTTAAAGGTACCATTTGCTGAATTTAGACAAATGCATACTGTACCCCAGACCCCTATCAGAGTATCAAGCATTGTCACCTCAGAAAGTTTCCTTGCATCGCTCTCCTGCCGATTCCTGCCTGCCCACCATGGACATATTTTTATATCCATATATATCCAAATATATATATATGTGTGTGTGTGTGTGTGTGTGTGTGTGTGTGTATATATATATATATTTATTTATTTATTTTTTGAGACAGAGTCTCGCTCTGTTGCCCCGGCTGGAGTGCAGTGGTGTGATCTTGGCTCACTGCAACCTCTGCTTCCCAGTTTCAAGCGATTCTCCTGCCTCAGCCACCTAAGTAGCTGGGACTACAGGTGCACGCCACCATGCCTGGCTAATTTTTGTATTTTTTGTACAGATGGGGTTTTGCCATGTTGGCCAGGATGGTCTTGAATTCCTGACCTCAAGTGACCTTGGCTTCCCACAGTGCTGGGATTACAGGCGGGAGCTACTGTGTCCAGCCAATTTTAGGCACATATTGACTGACTTTCTGGTCTGATGTTTTCATAGTGTGGCCTCCACTGCCTGGCTGCCTGGCTTTGGATCCCAGCCCTTCCTCTTTCTGGCTGTATGACCTTGGGCAGTAACTTAACCTCCTTGGGCCTCAGTTTTCTCATTTGTAAAATGAAGGTGATAAGAATAGTGCTTAGGTTATTGAATTGTTGTAAGGATTCAACATGTAAAAGGCTTAGAATAATGAACATCACCCAATGAGTAGTCAAGCTTTTTCTTCTCATAATGATTATTATCAAGAAAGATTTAGCTTTTGGTTCCCCCCTTTCAGTTGGCATTTATCACAATTTTTTGTGAAGTGGATTTTAGTGTTACTTATATTAGAACTATATAAATACTGTTTCCTGCGAAGCCTAGTCATATATTTTGGTTACATTTCCTTTCCTATACAACTCTTTGTTCTTCCTGGAGTTACTACTGGCTTTGCTTTTTTTCATTTGCTCAGTTTCCTCTTTTTCTTTTTGAGATGGAGTCTCACTCTGTGGCCCAGGCTGGAGAGCAGTGGCCGGATCTCAGCTCACTGCAAGCTCCGCCTCCCGGATTTACGCCATTCTCCTGCCTCAGCCTCCCCAGTAGCTGGGACTACAGACGCCCGCCACCTCGCCCGGCTAGTTTTTTGTATTTTTTAGTAGAGACGGGGTTTCACCATGTTAGCCAGGATGGTCTCGATCTCCTGACCTCAGTTTCCTCTTAACCCATCCTTAATTCTCTTAATTCTTTGACACCCTCAATCTCCCCATAGTTAACATTACACATCCTGAAACCCTTCAAGTGCTTTTAAAGAAGCATCCCTGTCCATTTTAAAAAATTGGACACCATTTTAAAAATAGAATCTCAAATACAGTCTGTAAGATAAGGATTTGTGAGCGTCTACTATGTGCCAGGAGCTGTGCTGGGCAGAGTAGGAAGGTAGCCAGATAGGTGATATCCCTGCCCGTG